AATGGCCCTCTATTGGAATCCAAAGTTTCAAGAAGATCAGAAAAACTCAAAATTTCAAAAAAAAAATTTTCGGTGTGAAAAAATAAGTTTCTCCAATCTTCTCAAAACTCTTGATTATGATAGAGGGCCATGAGACTTAGACCTGAGTGCAAAAAAGGAGTCTCTAGGCCCTTACTGAGCTGAGATATTGAGATCCCACATAGCATTCATGCCATTATAAATATCTCAATATCTCAGCTCTGGAAGGGTCTAGAGCCTCCATTTTACATAACAATACATTAAGCATTCAATAACGAACGCCATAGAAGAAGTCATCTTAAAGGCATATCAACATGTCATGAACAGTAGGTGGCCATTACAGAGTTCCATCTTTTGGACATTCATCATACCGCATTGGTTTTCATTTCTTGTCCTCAAAACAGGGCACTAATCTGATTATTTTTAAGTGTTTGTAGTATTATTTTATACGGAAATCAATTATTTATAATTAGTAGTTTAATTAACAAACTAATTATATGAAACTATTATCAGTACACTACAAATAAACTGGTTCTATGCCTTTATTAGTAAATTAAATCTAAGTCTTTATTAATATACTTTATTATTTTTAAGATATTTATAAAAATGACTTCTACATTTCTTTTCACTCCACTGTACTCCACCACAGGCGACTGCACGTACGCAATTGACACTTGGCTATTGTCATTACTGTGTATTTTCAGTTTTAATTTATATTTCCATCGTAAGTTTGGTCTTAAATTTAATTTAGAAGTGGTATTAAAAAGTCTTAAATTTAAAATTGTTTATACCTGTAGCCACCCTGTCAAGGTCAATCTTACTTTAAAACTTTGTCTTACAAAATAATAAACTTTTCAGAGAACACAAATGATAACATCAATGATTATTAGAAGTTTAAAACTACTTGTCTTGCTGTTGAGATTAAAAATAATTTGAAAGACTGATAAGACTATCAGAAAAAGAAATAAAAAAGCAAAGATTGATAGGTTAATCATATTACTAAATTCACAAAAGATGTCATATCAACCTACTTGTGTCAACATGTATTAACGGTTTGGCAATTCAGTTTTTATCTACAGTCGGACTGCTAAAATTAGCAATGCGAGACACGTCTTTGTGTACTGACATCCATCTGATCATGTATCTGATCCCTTTCAAAGTCTTTGTTTGGTCTTCTGCTTTCTTCACCTCTCTTTTTACAGAAGTTTTACATTTTTGAAAAGCATTAAGACATCACGGACATGCAATAGTTGCAATAGTTGTATTTATTTGAAAACAGCAATCTGTAATTTTTTCACCTGTGCTGTGATTCGTCAAAACTGATATAGTACATAGTTTTTCCACTGAAAATCACAAAGATACCCTTTTTTTTTTAAATTATGTTTGTCTTTTATTCTTTTTTGTTTGTTTCAATACAATGATTTGTGCTTTTGATACCTTAGGTTTAAAAGACATGTTAATACAGTTAAGTGGATAGCAGGGACTACTGACAAAAATGTCAAAGGAGTCAATTACATAGAGATCATATACACACAATACAAAATACAGATATACACACAAGAGTGCACTGGCTCCATACTCCAGTTCAGTTAGGTTGTTTCAACTCAAAACCTGTATAAAAAATAAAATAAAAAATAAAAACCAATTCCAATCCCAGTACTAAAGGTGATATAATTTGGGATTCTTTAGGAAGGTTTAAGAAACATAAGGTGCATTTTAGGAGTTCTCGGTATTGGAGTTTTTGTATGTATAGTTATAAAAGTGTTTGAGGACTGATGACATGGCCCATGACGAACTCCTTCAATGTATGAATATGCATGGCTATGAGCGTAACCGTAGGCATCCAATATTTACATCTGTTGGAATGTTCCCATACTAATCATCAACAAGTCAAGTACTTCAAGCAACATAATTCACAGAAGATCAAAATACCTTTCACATCTACCTCAGTAAGTGGTGGAGGAAATGCAGAAGTGCGAAAGTTGATTCACTTGCTTAATGCTTAACAGTTCTACATTTAAAATGTGAACGATGAAATCACAACTAGTGTAGCCTACCAGCCAATAGGAAAGAGAAGGGTACAAGCACTTAGAACCAACTACCATACTGTATGCGGGTGTCAATCTAAAACATATGTGCAGATATATTGTTTTTTTTTTTCTGTATATAGGTATATAAACATTTACTTATATTATATAGAATTCTAAATAAAGCCAGTTTACTGAGAAGTATATGCACACATACTTCTAATATATAAAGCCATATTACATGTACATAATTTTTGCTCTAATTATGCAATAGCAAAACCCATGCTTTACATAGAAAAGGCATCCACAACATTAAGAAAAATGTACAATTTATGAAACAAGATACAATAAATAGTATTATAGAATCGCTGCTGTACACAAAAGCCATTTAATTTCACACATATAAAAATATGTTTTAGTGCAACCTTACATGTATTGATACTTCACATCATTCAGACCTAAAGTGTCCAAAAAGACGGTAAATTGCATTTATTACAAAGCGGGGTACACAAAAATCGATATATATATTTACACGTCTTCCTGTTTAATGCTTATAAGAATATAAGCAAAAAGTAAAGAAAAGGCACACACATCTGTACATTTTTTAAAAGTACCAGACAAAGTCTATAAGCAATTTTGGTCAGGCTCATATACAAGTTAATATATATATATATATATATATAGTGTATATATATATATATACAGTATATATATATGCAGTATATATATATATATATGTATGTATTCTTTGAAACTTTAAATAAGAAAGTAATTATAGTTGAGATAGCAAACCATGATATAAAAGGCATGCTATACATGTACATTAAAACCACGGAATCAGTTCACTTGTTTTTTCAAGACTGATTTTGTGTGTGCGCGCATGGATGTACATTTGTAAATATAAAATTTGTGTAAGCATAAATTACCACTCTTGTTCACCTGTTGTTGATAGCGTCCTTTAAATCTTTGCCTTTCTTTATGGCCGCTGGCCTCTTTTCACGGCCCTGTTGGCCAGACACTCGCTCTGCTGTCTCTGTGTTGTAGAGAGTGGGATGGCTTGCTGTGGGAGTCTTTGATGTGGCAGACACACTGCTCTCTGCTCTGGAGTGTAGGAGGTGACTGATCTCTGAGCCGCAATAGTGCTGCACTCTCTGCGTACAGTCTTGCTGAACTGCGGGTGAGTGAGATAATGTATGCTGATGGTAAGGATCAACGGGAGCTGACGATTTTTCGGAGGTTTCCTCAGAGGCGATGCACAGCGATGCAATTGCCTTAGTGCATGTTTGGATGCACTCTTCTTGCTTGCTTTCTTTGTCAGACATGTCAGTGCTGTCCTCTCGTGACTTTTGTGAGGAAGGTGATGGAGCCTTGGGGGACATGGATTTTTCATGGGGTTGAGGTGAGTCTTCTGGGCCTTTGCTGGAGGGCCCTCTGCCCTCAGAAAGGTGGTAGGACACCTCACTGGTGCTGGACTCCTCCGAGGTGCTCTTCTGCAGGGGAAGGCGTGTAGGGTGGGGATGTCCTGTGACGGAAGCAGGCACAGAATGGACCATCTGGATGCCGCCAATGGGTATCATGGAGAACGGAGTGCGGATCTGTTGCTGGGAGTGCAGGGGAAGGTGGCTAAATAATCCCTGGTGGATGCTGGAGGCATCTGTGTTGCGAGCATCCCCTTGAAGATAAGATGTCTTTCGCTGGTCCT